CTGCCGAGAAACGAAAATATTATAACTCTAAAAGTTAGAAGTAAAAGAATTATATATAATTTAAAATCTATAATTTACAATCTTTATACAAATATCATAGGATTGAAAATATTTTAGACATCAATAAGATAATTCCATCCACATTGTTATAGCATTTATGTACAGTGGATATTATTAATTTTGTATTTATCTGTAAATATGTGTATCATACGTGCATAAGAAGTTATGAATATGATTGAATGTTAATGGCACTAGTAACTATTAGATTAATTATAACTAATCACAAAATATGCTGACTTTGCAGGTTTGGTTCCTTGTATCTAAGATACTTCTTTAGAATCTGCATTTGCAAAGAAGATATAGCACATTTGTACTTGTCTATATTTGTATTTCTTTGTGATCTCAGGTACCAATTGTAAACATTTTCATAGCGAGCTTTGGATTCTGAGTATATGTATAACAATTACATACTTTTTCTTTTTTGTGAAACTATACACATGGTATTTCAAAAGCCACAAATAAATGAACATTCTATTAATCTCTGTTTTATTTCAATAGTTGTAAGTTATTGCGTACAAAAAGTTAATTATAAAGTTCAAATTTCAAAATTACAAAAATACTCACCATAACATGTACCAACAATAACTACAATTATCTATGTCCAGTTTCTATTAATAATGATTCCAAAAATATTGTTAGACTTTCTGGTAGTAATGGCTGATGAACCCAGGTTGCCAGACACAACATTTTCCAAGATTCTGTGTACTGATGAGCTACATTTTCAAAAATTTTTCGTTTTATCTTGGCTTCTTCAGAATACACATTATGTATTAACTCCACAACATAATCTGCCAAAATAGATAGATTATATGATTGTACACATGTATTTTATCATTCATCTGTTAAAAATATTTGATATGTACCAAATTTAGTAATAGGCCACGTTGTAAATAATTTGTCCACATCTTTACTTAAACTTGTTGTCAACTTTAGTCGATGTGTAATTTGAGCAAGATTTTTTACTATAGTATCCTGGAACAAAATCTGTTAACATATGTACGTATGTATGTGAGATCCACTTCAAGAGTAGACAAGGAGCACAAAAGCTATTAAAAAATTTTGTATAAAATTTATATGAATTTCTTAAATTGTTTTCATATTCTTTATCTATTCCTAAAGTGTTTGACACGTACACTTGTATATTTTATAATTATTACCAATGCATCACAAATATGTTCCAATTTATCACATAACTCTTGTAAAACCTGAGAGTAGGATGTATTCTGTTTTTCCTGCGTTATATCCTTGAGTAATGCTACTCCTTGTAAATGGGCTGTATTCCATTGCTGAATAATTGTATGAATATCTGCAGCCATATCACGTATGTGTCGAGCTGAACCTACCAAATTTCTTCCTTGTGTTGGTTTCACCGATTGAATTTCTATAATTGTGCAAAGTAAAATAATAATTTTTACTTATTCTAATACACTTTTTATGGTACAGAATAATTAATAAATGTACCAAAATGTTTGTATTACTTACTGCTAATTGGAGAAAATTGTTCTTTAATCATCTTAGGATTTCTAAGTGTAAAAGAATTTAAATTTTGAATGTACAGATATATCATTAGTAAATAACAAATTAATATTTAACAATTATATAATAGAGATATGTAATACATTGATAAGAACCCCAAGCGTGTTCAATGTTAGAATGCAATGGCGAATGTTAGGTTCATGTAATTTCAAATACATAGTTATAACATCATGTAATTTATATGAACACANCTTAGGATTTCTAAGTGTAAAAGAATTTAAATTTTGAATGTACAGATATATCATTAGTAAATAACAAATTAATATTTAACAATTATATAATAGAGATATGTAATACATTGATAAGAACCCCAAGCGTGTTCAATGTTAGAATGCAATGGCGAATGTTAGGTTCATGTAATTTCAAATACATAGTTATAACATCATGTAATTTATATGAACA